CAGTGGCTGCATCTCAGCCACTGATGCAACATCTCCCAGCTGGGGCTGCTGGTTAAAGCACATTTGCCTCTAAATACTTATTAATGGATTACTTGTATTACTTGTCAGAACAGATAAGTACAGAAATGTCACCTGTGGGAATAGTCTGCCTTGTGGAGCCTTTTAAAATGCATTTCCAAATGAATCTTTATTACATAATGAAGAATTTAAAAAAAAATCAAGAAGGGAGGGGGCTGGAGTCTTTCAGGTGAATGTTCTAGGCCTGATGTTTGGGAAGAGGAGGGAGCAATGTGAAAAATCAGAAAACTTAAGGTTAAACTCTTCCATCAGCTGAGTTCTCTCAGGAGGAAGGTTTTAAAAAGAGGAGAGCAGAACAAGTGACTCAGATGCCATTAATCAAGTCTTAATAGCTCATTAATGTTTAGTTCCACAGAGCAGCAGCTCTGCCCAAGGTGCARTTGCTTTAGCCTTGGCTTTGCAGCAAAGCTCCTTGGTCGTCTACGCCGGCTCTGTCGCACGACCTGCACGGGGATGGATCCACTGAATCCTGGTCCCGTTACCACTTCGAGCATCATTTTGGCCGGAAAAATTGTCCTTTGCCATAACTCCAGAGCTGTAGTTTTAGGTAAATCATAAAACACTGACTGTTCTTAGTATGTTGTTAATCTGCTGCGTACCCTAGGAGCACTTCAGCATCTACTGCACCACGACACTTAACAGCCCCAAATAAGAGAGCAGGAAATGACAGGAGCATCTGGGAAGGGATTTTTGATAATTCCTGTGAYCTACTTGTTTGTTTGTGAAGGCTTAGAAATTGTACTTGCTTTTGACTTCCAAACTGTTTTTGTTTGCCTGCTATAACTTAATTTTTAAGCCAATTTCCTAATGAAAGCAGCTTGATATACTTGATTGTGCTGCCTGTCTAATGAAGCACGGTTTCCCATGCCGGTCTTGGCTAGATGGGAAGAAGTAAGAACCCTTGGGATAACTTAATTCTCCAAGTCTTGTAGGATTTGTCCTCATCCAAGGTGGTTGGGTACAAGGGATAAACGCAGGTTATTGCTTCTTAGGGATGAAAAAGCAGGCGGGTACATGGTGGGTGACCAGGCAGCCAAGCAGAGAGCACCCACGTGGTAACTGGCCAGAGGGCACATGAGCAAACAACCACTCTCTGTCCAGCCAAAGTGAACCAAGAAATCTTGGAGAAAAAGGGTCACTGTGGAAGGAGGGGACCTGGAGCTGTTACTGCACTTGCTGCTCTGTTATTTTGTCCATCCACAAGAATTGGTCCAATCTCCACTTTGGATTCAGAGCTGCTCGCTTCAATTTTTACCTTTGTTTTCTGCAGGCGTCTTGGTGCCGAGTTGGGGAAATCTGTGGTGTACCAGGAGACCAATGGAGGTAAGACAAACCATTACTGCTTGGAGGCCTCTCTGAGGTGATGTTGTCAATGCTGGCTRGCTCTGTTGGCCAGACCTGTCTGATATGTGTGAGGAGCCAGCAGAAACAATGGATTTTTATGCTTTCAGCCATCGTGTTGCTGCTGCTTCTGGCAGTGCTAAGCTGCTGCATCTGACCTTGGATAAGCAATTAAATGTGTTCCTCGTTTTCCCCGTTATCTTGCTCGCGTGCTCCTCAGCTGACTCATCTAAAACAGATTYCCACTTTGAATAGCAGCTACTACAMAATCTTCCATGCTGTCATGCTTAGCAAAACACTTGCAGGTTTTAAAGCAACTGCCTCCTTTCTAGATGTTTGCCCAGCAACCTGGACGTTATCCCCTTCTCCCAGACCTCCCTTCACCACAGGCAGTTGTACATCTTCCCTAGCAAGACATCTGTCTTASTGCTTTAAAGAGTGCAGATCTGAGGATGTATTGATGAAACAGACCTCCAAAAGTGCCTCTTGGAGATTCGTGTTATGTCTTTGAGTGTAASAGGTGTCTGTTTTCATACATCTGTGCTGAGCTAAATGCAAGGTTATGGGCTAACAGAGTCCAGGTGCTAAATGTCACTCCCCATTTGAGATCTCTATATTACCCTGTTTGCAGAAGAGACTAGAAGCAGAGACAGCTGATACAGGTAAGAGTAAACGGTAGAAAAAGGAGCCTTTTGATCAATTAGGGAGATATGCTGGAATGGTTATTTTTCACCTGATCCTGTTGCCATCAAATGTGCCTTGCTGACCATGTGAGAGCCTTGAGTTGGTCTCACCTCCAATCTCTAAGTACTTCCACATGAGATATCGGGTGCTTCATATAATAACAGCAAGACTCCAGGTTGTTCACGTGGCTTTTCTGTTCCTCCTGTTGGGCTTGCATGGATGCTGGAGAGTTCTCCTTGCAGTGCTGGGCTCATCATGACTTTCTTTCATAATGCTCTTGCCTTTAAAGTCAGAAAGGGCCACGTGATACATCAGCTGCTGCGGGAGCTTATGGTTATGATTGGGTTGGGCACCGCGTTCGTGCRAGACTTGTGCCCTTTGGCACAAGTCAGGTCACTTGTTTCAAGGTCTGAAGTCATTCTTCACTGCACAGCAAAGCAGTCTCTTCTCAGCAAAGTCCTCTGAGGTTACTACCCAGACAATTAGACTTTGAATTCAGTAGCCAAGCAGATATTTTTCTCCTTCAGCTTACCCCTACCCATACTATATGACTGTGTGGGAAAYTAGGGGCTAGAAAGGCAACCCAGAAGTGCTCTTAATTTTAAGAGGCAGTATGAAGCATGTTCATTGGAGACTTAAATTTCCGTCCTGGGTGARTAGTGAAATGTCTTGACCATGGCAGCAAGTTGAGGAGTTCCCTGTTTGAACCCCGTGTTGTGGATGCTGTGCTGGACTATCCAGCGTGTACAGAGGTGACCATGTGGTAGGGTACAGAGGAGCTGGCGTCCACTCTTGGTGAGTGCTAGAGACTCTTGTGCTTCGGGAAGTTCGCTGATGGATGTGCTATCAGCAGCTYTCAGCACCCAGCGTGTGGCATTGACTTTTTCTTAGAAAATAAAGTAGTAGTCTTCTGCACGTAAGATAACAGCTATTCAGCCCCATTCTGCTTTGAAAATGTAACTAATTTGTATGCAATGCCAGCTCTTCACCTCACAGGTGCCTTTTGGAAAATCTGTTTGATTCGATGTGTAGTTGGTGTGTGTGCRCATAGGGTCAAGGACAAGACTTGCAGTTTTTCCTGACCGGTGGGCAAAATTGCTGCTAAATTATGGCTTAAATTAGCTTCAACMTGACATTTGGGAGTAAAACTGACTGTTCTCTATTGTTTTCAGAAACAAGAGTTGAAATAAAAGAATCAGTCCGGGGACAGGATATTTTCATTATACAGACGATCCCCAGGTAAGTGACCCGTGGCTTAATTTTACAGCTGTGATATACTTMGAATTTCTGATTCAGCAGGTTGTCTCGATAGGTTTGTGTGCTATTTGTTTGCTCTTTCCATAGTTGTCATTGCTTTGATTTACYTTTTAGATACAGCATAGTGTTAAGCTGTTAGCATTCCCAGAGGATGTTTGTACCAGAGCAAGCTGAGAAGCTCCCCACCTCAGGAAAGAACAAGTATGACCAGTGGCTTTAAGTGAAACGTCCCTGGTTGGTACGTTGGTGTCCTTGCAAATTCAGTTGCTTGATGACTGGCACTTCCATCTCATGATGTGTAGTTACCTCTGCTTTCCAATTATCGATCAGTAGAGCCAGCAGCTATTGCTTTTCTTACAGGGTGAGTTCCCCTCCACTGCAGTGCCTTGAAGCTGAACTCCTGAGAAAGTCCTCAGCTTCCTTCCCTTACTCCTTTAGTTCTTGATAATGTGATTCTTTCTTGTTTCTTGTGTGTGCCAGCTTGTTGTTAGTTTCAGCTGGTTTTAGCCTYGAAATAGGGAAGAAAAGTGCTGCTAGTAAGTAGGCTAGGAGAGCTAAAAAAGCTCCTGCTAACCCCTGGGAACTTTGCTTGTGCCTGGCTGAGGAGGAGTTTAGAGGGGCTGTGTTAGATTTGGAGAGCTAAACTTGATGCATGGACTGTTTTTCCCTTCAGTTAYGGCCAAGTGGACCATGCAAGTTAGTGGAAAGTGCAGGGGAAAAGCATTTACAATCGGCAGTGCAAAATCATCAACCTCAAGTAGCAGCGATTCGCTTCTCAAAGATGAAGGATTGAGGGGGTGCAGTTTGCTTGATGAGCTTAAAAAAAGATATTTGTGCCTTTTAGCATAATTCTGTTCAAATTGGGGAGGTCCCTAGAACTAGTTAATACATATCAGAGCTCAAGTAGATACACAAATATACTGGAAATAGAAATTTTCCTAGTTTGCCTAAAAATACAGCCCAATGAGAATTCAAGTTCAGTTGCTCTTGGTAATGCTTGGCCTATTGATAAAGAAATCAGTAAGAGCAGCTTCCTCCCTTCTAGTGTTCCTCTTGAAGGCTGAGACATTTTCCTGGAAATCATCTCTCTCCAGGGAGATGCTGCAGGTTTTGCTTCCCATAGGAAGCTAGGAAATCTCTGCAAGATGAAAACCCTCTATTGCAGGACTGTGTTTCAGGTGAGTGGTGCCATCCTGCTGTCCCTTGTGAGAGTCTTCTGAAGTAACTTGTAAATGAGAGCATAAATATGCAACAGATATTGCAGAGAGAGATAACTTGGTGTATTAGGGACAAGTAACAGTTTTGAMAGGGGAGAACCTCCATTCCTCTCAACTTTTTGATTCTCTTGGTTTTCCATGAATTGAACCAAATATTGCAGACCATGAAATGTATCCTTTAGGGAAGGAAAAAAAACCCCTAAGGGATTAAGGCCCTCCAGGCAGCCACTGTTGCATTGTGTAATCCTTTATTCTCCAGCTGCAGCTGTGCCTTGCTGCATTGCTTAGAGGAAACAGGTTCAAGGACATCTTCATTTTTTGCACTGGGTTTCAAGAACCTCACAGGAATGTAAAAGGAGGAACTATTCTGGATTCCATTTGTCAAACCATGGTGCTATGAAAATGCAATTTCTGTACCCATTAGCAGTTGAAAAAGCAAGTAGAATATTGAGACTTGTTAGGAAAGCAATAAAGAGTGAACTAACCTTGTTATGCTGCAGTGCAAAGCCACAGTCTRCATCTTAAATGCACAAGGAGGGAGCAGAAAGACCTGAATAAGTGCTGCAAGTCCAAAGGGTATATAGCAAAACTAAACCAGACAAGTATCATCCTGAACCGCTGATGTGTAGAATAGCGTTTGTATGAGGAAAACTGCATAGTTTAGTACTCTTTAGCTTAGGAAAGAGAAGCTAGGAGATAYTACACTGGAGGATTTCCAAATCTGGAGTGTCCTGGTTGCAGGGTCAGGCTGAACTCAACCATTTTTGTCTTCCTGCATGTGCTAAACACACAACTCAGTGTTAAGGTAGTTAGCGGACTGTTCTGTAAAGCAGACGAGTGGAGGACTGGATGGTGGAAGTGAGATGCTAGAAGTTAAAGAAAAGACTTTTGGTGCCAGATGGGTTGGTACTTGTTGGACGAACGCTTTGCCAAGTCACTTGGTCAGCCGTGAGGATACCGATCCCCAGGGATGCCTTAGACAAAGGTAGGCAGCAGGGAGAGCTCCAGCTTGCAGGGGAAGGGGACAAAAAACAGGGGACAGGGGTTACTGAGATGGCTCTAAGTATCGTGGCCATGAGCAGAGGGTGCYCTGAGCAGTCTTGGGCCCTCCAGAAGCAACTTGTGAGCTCTGCTCAAGAGCCGAGGAGGAACAAGCAGCATGGAGACAGGGATGCAGTCCTGGGCATCCGCCTAGGGAGATGCTGTGACTGGGTGTCCCCCCCCAAAATTATTGTCCCCAATTAGTCCTCGCTGCAAGTCGGGCCCGGGATTCAGGTCAGTGCCCCTGGCAGAGGCATGAGGAGCAGCTCAGTGCACCCAGGAGGGGCCAGATCTGCTCAGCTCTGGCCGAGCTGCTGCAAGGACAGATGCATCCAGCTCTACCTAATGTCTGCACCAGCTGGTTTTCACAAGCCAGACCTGTTGGCCCCTTCTCCCAGGAGCAGTTAAATTCTATAGCCTTTTTCCTGGAGAGCTTTTTAAAGAAATTTGAGACACAGCAACATAAAATATTGAATTTCTGGGGTGACCTCGAAATGAGTTTGAAATTGGCTGCTTTGTTTTCGTACAATACTGCGACTAGCATCTTCTTCTCTGTTCCCAGCCACGCTGGCACAGCTGAAACGGCCAGGGGAAGAAACAGGGCTTTGTTTGCTTGTTGTCCTCCGTGGCAGGGGGTTATGTTTTATGTAATTCTTGGCCAGGCATTTCAAGCCCTAACAAAGCTTTCTGTGTGCGAGGGCATTGTGCACGGGACCGAGGGAGCCAGCCCGCGGATAAAGAGGCTCGGGGCGCTCGCAAACAGAGAGACGTCGTTTCCCAAGCAAGGGGGGGCTCTGGGGAAACGGGAATGGCCTGAGCTTGTCACGTGTTAGAYCCCAAGGCTCAGGAATTGCTGGCTCTGCCCCTTGGGAAAAGGTAGCCCAGGTGGCCGGGAGGAAGCGGGTCCCACGGTGGCATCTTGGTGACTTCCTGAAAGCCCCGCAGAGCTTTAGGCTGCCTGCTCTGTCCTCTGCACGGAAACCCAGGCAAGGATATCTTTATTCTGGAGCGTTGCATGTCTCTCTGTCCTCTCCACAGGTTCTTAAGGTTCAAATGGTCTTGGTGCAGATTACACATGGAATTAGGTCTCCCTCGATGTTGGCTTTAAGGAACTAAACATTCAGCCTTTCCCCCCCTTCCCAATAAATACCAGTCTAGATTAATGCTCTTCTAATGAGGCACACCAACCATCGCAGTGTAAACCAGCTGAAGATGGAGCTTATTGCACACACTCTTCACTGTGCTCTGTATATTGTGTTCTGTCTATGCTGCTGCTTTCTTCCTTTCCCCTCTCTCCCTTCCAAGAAAAGTCATTTGGGGCTTCATGTGTTCTTGTTCCATCATCTCTGGATGCAGTAGGGAGYGTGAAGGTGCCAACTTCCCCCCAAGTGAAGAGCCTTCCCTTGTATGGCTCCAGAAATGTGTTTCTTACACCAGGAAAAGTGATTTGCCTTAAGCTGTTAAAAATATCCTAGTAAATGTAGTGTTAAAAATGCCCTTCGTGTGTGTGTGTGAGCAATGAGGGAGGGAAATAATCATAATACTTGTGCTGGAATAAAAAATAATCAAAGTTTGCCATAGCTCTTGGGTGCTGGGGCCACATCCTGTGCATATATGAAGGTACATATGGTGTGTAGATGTGGTGAATGGTGTGTCTGTGTGTGTGCACATATGGTGAATGGGTGTAGTTGGAAAAAGCCTCACATTGAAAAACTCCTACTCATCTCTGAAGTGTTTTTCAAATCTTTTAGAGATGTAAACACTGCGGTAATGGAGCTGCTGATTATGGCTTATGCTCTGAAGACCTCCTGCGCCAGGAACATCATTGGGGTCATCCCTTACTTTCCCTACAGCAAACAGAGCAAAATGAGGAAGAGGGGCTCGATCGTTTGCAAGCTGCTGGCTTCCATGCTAGCCAAGGCAGGTGAGTAGCACGCAGGGAGCAYGAGGGCAAGCTTGGTTTCTGTAGGGCCTCTCCTGCCATGTGTCCCCAAAGGTGGCTCTCCTTTGTTTCTTCTCCTCCTAGATGGGGAGATTTTCAGACAAGTACCTGAGCAACTTGGGGGAACASTAAATTGCTTCATCTACTTTTCATTTTTTTGTGGCTCTCACCTGATGATGTGGCCTAGAAGTGTCACGTTGAAATACACCTTTGTTAGCAAGCAGCCTTTATTTCATGTCTGTTTTTCCTTATGCCTTTGATACTTTTTACTTAACCTCTCTATACTCATGGCTTGTATGTGGCGTAGTAGTCTGACTACTAGATAAAATAGTCTGAAAAAATGAAACGTTTGAGGAACTCCAGCCATGTAATAGGCTACTTACCAAATTGTTTTTTTTTTTGCTTAGGTTTAACGCACATTATCACTATGGACCTTCATCAAAAGGAAATCCAAGGCTTCTTCAGCTTTCCAGTAGACAACCTGAGAGCCTCTCCTTTCCTGCTTCAATATATACAGGAAGAAGTGAGGTTACTCTAGTTCTGTATATATTAGTTTGTCCTAATGTGCACCTGATGTAATGCAGTGGTGGTTTTGGACCYGGGCTTAAGCAGAAATTGCACTGTCAGGCTAGATCATTTGTTCAGTCCACGGATTCCTTCTTCCAGGGCATCTGCTGCGTGTGTRTTTCTCAAGGAAGAAGGAATATCTTTTACCTAAGTAGGTTACATTGTATGATGCCATACTTGGGTAGAAGTTGAATTCTTGCTCATTAGCAGATGAGCTTGAGCCCTTAGCCAAAAGTCCTTGTTCTCTGTAGTGCTAGTGCCATTTGAGGTGCTATTTATGCTTCTGCCTCAAATCAGCTTTTCAGTCCTGTTAAATTGTCTCCCCTCGTTCTTCGTTGTGTGGTGAGTGTCTGACTGACTCAAGTAATTGACACTTTGTCTTTATTGAATCCAGATTCCAGATTACAGAAATGCAGTTATTGTAGCCAAGTCTCCTGATGCAGCAAAAAGGTAAACAGGTTATTTTACTAGCTGGTTAACTATAATCTTGCTTGATGGAGTAAATGTCAGCAAAAATGTGGAGGGTCCAGATGGATCAGGAATCAAGTCCTTAAGTCCTTTGTGGCTGGAAAGTGGGATGACATCCSTAGTCTTGCAGGTGGACAGCTCAATTTGGCAGTCCCGGCCCTGTGGGAGTAAACTGTGGAGTTCCTGCTGCTATACATCTGGCTGGTTCACTGGAGCATCAGGGTCTGACTTTTTGCACAAGCAGYACCTGAGCGTGTTAGAAAAAATTTAGTATGTGGAAGAACACCAGGAGACCTCTGCAGAGGAGCCAAGGGGTTGCGTTGGCTTATTGGGAGGAATAAAAAGCTCTTTGTGGTGAGCATCTTACTCATGGGAACCYCTTTTACTGCCAGAGAGGTGCAGTCTTTGCTTGCCCCGTTGGATTTGGGAGAGGGCTGCTCYACCAGATTGCAAGACATCTTCCTGACATGCTGTCGTTGTCCTGCAGGGCTCAGTCTTACGCCGAGAGATTGCGCCTGGGACTAGCAGTGATACATGGGGAGGCCCAGTGTACAGAGCAGGACATGGATGATGGTCGTCACTCTCCCCCCATGGTCAAAAATGCAACTGTGCATCCTGGTCTGGAGCTGCCACGTAAGATTAAGTTTCTCTGCTTGTCTTTGGGCTGCAAGGTGAAATTTAACAGGAATTTGCCCTTTGGTTTCGCTATATCATTATTAGCAACCTGAAAGCAGTTAGACAAGCTTTGCCCAAGAGAAAAGCTGCACTAAAGTTAGGAAGTCGTAGGGGAAGGTACAAGGAGTGATTATTATTTGACTCTCTTTGCCAGTGCAGAGCATCAGGGTTGTTCCCCTTGCTGTGCCCACTCAGCAGTGTCAGACTGACATAAAATGCTCTGTGGCAAGACGTAGGAAACGGGAAAGAGTGCAACTAGTGAGGGAACTGCTCTCCCTCCCTTTCCTCACCACTCTCCCTCCCTTTCTGTCCAATTATTCAACAACCAGAGCTGCCTCCCTACCCCAAATATTGCTTTGGACAAACCTTTGATCWCCTCTTCCTGCCTCTGCACCAACAGCAGCACACCCGACTTATAAGGTTCGAWGGCAGAGGGGTCGGTGTGGTCGGTGTGTCTGAGAAACTGCAGTTTTGGGGTGTCTGGTGGTGGGTTGAGAGGGGGAAAGACAAACCAGGGAGCAGAACAGAGCCTGCAATGGGCACTTGTGCTTTGTGCCATTCCTCAGGAGCTCCCTAGCGAGTCAGCTGGGCTCCAGTGGCCCGGCGGGCACCTTTTCTCCCTGTTCTACCAGGAATCACGTGCCTTTAATTACTGGGTGTTGCACATGACAGATTGGTTTTGTCCACATAATGTGTCCTGGGCAGCGCTCTGATTTTAGAGGCTTAGGAAAYGGCCACAGGTGCTTCTGTTTGCTCTGAAAGTGCTCTGCTGAAGGGGCAGCAACACCTCCCATCACTCAAAAAGGAGAAATTGGAGCCTTTGCAACAGGATTTCCTCCAGGGAAAGAAGCAAAAAATTGGAATGACCATAGGTGTGTTCCAAGTTCCCTGCCCTCATCTCCCCTTTGTGTTTAGACAGAGTCTTACAGACTTTATTTGTGCTTCTTAATTTATCTGTTTGCATAAAAATTAGGCCCTCAGTGCTCTGTTGCTCATAGGCTCTGTTGTAAGTGTAGCATTATTTTACTTGATGATTATGATTTTAAGGCACATTGTACTTCTCAGTTGTGAAGTTAGGTCATTCCTTCACCCATGTTGACCACAGAAATCCCACGTTGAAGCACCTGGCAATGCTCTTTCTTCATGCCAATGATCTTCTCACCTTTAATGTATGGTACCTGAGTATGTATTGCAGCAGAGTGAAAGCACAGTTTAGGGTGGTGGGGTTATTTATGGTGGTTTTATTTTTTTCCACCACAGCATTCTTTGATATTCTCATTTTATAAAAATGGTGGTTAAAAATGGTCTTTTTAAACCTTTCAGCATTTTTCTTTTAAGCTACCAATACCATTAGCATCTTTTCTGCCTCTCCAAAAAATGCTCCTGCRTAATCCAAGGGGTCATCCAAGGCAGAAATTCAGCTGCAGCTTCCTTCTGCTGTTGTCTTCTTGTCTGCAGACAAAGAGAGGGTTTATGTCTGGGAGAAAAACGTTTTTTCATTTGGAATCATTTTTCAAAACGCCTTCTCCCAGCAGCCCTGACTTGCACRTGTCACGATGACCAAAGATCCTGCAGAACGAGAATCAGGCCTCGGTAGCACTTGCACAAGCTCTCGTCACGTTGGAGCCATCAAAACTCTCTTGCATTTTGATGTGGTTTGGATAGATTTTTTGACTTGCGATTCGTGGGTTTTTTTTTTTTTCCTCTTTTTTTTCCATTTTTTGTTCTTATTTTACAGAGCAAACTGAACAAGAAAAAAGGAGAACATCTCTTTAGGATATGGGTAGGTCAACATGTTGCCTACCCTACTTTAAAGATAAAGCAGCCTTGAAATACAGCTTTTAAAAGCAGACARAAAAATGCAAAGCACAAAGCAGGGGCAAAGCACTGGTAGTGCTGCTAGCTGGTGTGTTAGCCTTTGAGCACAAAGAGGATTGTGTCCATGTCTCTTCTGGAATATAAGGATACCTCTGCAGAGCAAATTCAGCTATTTGCCAGGAAAATTGTACTGAATTTCCTCTCATTAAGCTCTGCTCACCACCGCAATGGTTTTAATCACAGAGCCTAGCACCAAGGCAGTTTAATTTTTGTGGAAACAGAAATAATGAATGCCTATAATAGCATTTTGGTAGGCTTAAGGAAAACTGGTGTGTGGGGCATRTCTTGAATGTGAAGACCAGCATCACGCTTGAATCTTTGGCTCTGAGGTCCTTGTCATTGCTCTCATCAGATCCCTCAGTGTGACTCACCCAGCTGTGCTTGGACTATGGGCAGCTCCAGCCATTTATTGTGGGAATAGCACTGGATTGGCCTGCTGTGCAGGATGGGGAGTTTCATGCAGGGCTCTTAGGACCCAGGAGGACTGAAATCAATGTCCAAACACCTGTGGTGTTGGGCAATGGCATCTAATTTCATGCTGTTTCAGTATTATGTGGAAATGGGTTATTTTAAAGGAAAAAAAAAAAGGCTTCCTAATACGTCCAAATTTCCTCAGCATTTGGAAGCACTTGTGTCCAGGATCACAGCAGGCTCTGAATTTAGGAAGAGAACAGGTACAAAGCGCCCCACTAGGACCAGGCCTAGGACTAGGACAAAATAGAACACTATTTTGTTACGCTCCCTTCAGACAACATTAAAGCAAAGAGATGCAGGTGCAGGGCAAAGTGTTGCAAAATGTTAGATATTTCCCTTCAGTGATTATCCCAGCCCGGATTATCATCTGGTGCAATACATCTGCCCCCTCTATATCCTTGCCATGCAGAGAGGTTTTATACTATATTCGCTTTATAAATTAGCGCAATCTGGCAAATGAGAGGCTTGGCCTGTTGGCAGCAAGTCCCCCCCGCACCGACTGATGGCTCCTTGTTGCATCCGAACATGCATCTCAGGGTATCCTGGCTTGTCTCCTTTTTTTTTCTTATCGTGTCACCCATGTAGTTTTTGCACGTGTCAGTGCAAAGGGTTAACTGGTGCAATTCACCCGCATGCACTTTGTCTTCTAGTCGCTGCTCGTGTTGAGCTTGTTGCCCTGAGTTTAAACTGGATTTTGTCCTGCTCCTGATCCAAAGATCCTGGCAAACTTTGCTTCTGCAATCTCCCTCAAGTGATACTTGTCTGTGCAGGCAGATTAGGGGCCTTGCACACTCTGAAAGATTGCAAATTTTGCGATATGAGAGATTACAAACCGGAGTCCAAGTCTGCAATCAGTCCCGTGACTTAGTGAGGCCAYGGGATGAAAACCTGGCTTGTGTAAAGCCTAAACCCTTTCAGAGGTGTTGCAGGGAGAGGCCTGTTTATTGCTCCCACTCGCAGGACCYCCTTTTCTCAAGTCCTGTTTCAGAGATGACCATAGAGGCAAAGAGCCATTTCACTTAGTTCTGCCCTCCCGCCTTGCATGGAGGGACTCTTGGGTCTGCCGCTATGGAGGAAAYGGAGAGCTTGGTTTTTAAACTGCAGGGCTACTCCTTTGGAAAGGAAAATGATGGTTAAAATGGGATTTTTGCTCTCAGGTGCATCTCAGGATAGTGTGGTGCACCCAGCTTCATCTGTGCATCACTACAAGGCTCGGTCAGCAAGGACTGGCCTCTCGTGCTGACTGACCTGTTTTTCCTCCTTTAGTGATGATGGCCAAGGAGAAACCGCCGATAACCGTGGTGGGAGATGTCGGAGGAAGAATTGCTATCATTGTGGTATGAGTGCAATGGAGAGGAGTGGATGGGGTGGCTTTTCCCAGCAGCTTGCTTCATAACTGCTCTATTCCAGAGAGCAGGAAGCACTGCTCAGATGGGGCAGGAGCACGATTGTTGTCTCTGCTCCACTTTTACTGGTGACTTGGGCTGAATATTTCAGCTCCCATTGATGCTGCACGCTTTGTTGCTGTAAATCCCCAAATCTCCTTGCCCCCTCGAATCCACAAAAACAAATCCAGGAAATGCAGAGACATAAACTGAATTGCCAAGGCTYTCGTACTCGGGCTCGCCTCAGTGCAAACGATCAATATGCAGCTATTAGCCCCAAGGGGGAAAAAAAACCAAAACCCTTGCTGAAGATGAGCTCTGTTTGCATGTACTGGGGCTAAGTAGTTTCCARGACACAATATCTTTGTGTTATGCACCTGGGGGAGGCTGTAAATAAGTCCAAATGCCCTCACAGACTTAGCTTGTGCGTGCGGCTTCTCCTTCCATGCCTATGAGAGCTGGAGTAGCCGGAGTGTTTCAGACCTGGCAGCACTTCCCGCTCCCCCGGCGTGGGGTGTTTCCAGGCCAGATGCTATTCCTGTCTCTTCCCAGGATGACATCATCGATGACGTGGAGAGCTTCGTGGCTGCTGCGGAGATCCTGAAGGAGCGAGGAGCCTACAAGATATTTGTGATGGCTACTCACGGGCTCCTGTCTGCAGACGCGCCCCGTCTCATAGAGGAATCCTCCATCGACGAGGTGCATGCGCTCTTCGGAGCGAGGAAGGGCTGGTGGAGGGGCTCAGGGTCTTAGCTGTTTGCTGAAGCCTGAGGTCCTTCCCTGCCTTCCCTCGTCTCTCTGAAATGACTGGCTTCACCTGACACTTCTAGTTAGCTGGTTCCTCCTAAAACCGGGGTGTGATTAATAGTTATTCAGATCAGATCTGCTCCCCTCTGCGTTTTCTCCCCAGCGCACCCGTGTCAGTTGTGCCTGTCTGGATGTGTCCCTTCGCGCAGCTGGGCGCCTCTCGCTGCTTTCTCACTAAACAGGCCTTCGGTCTGCCTCCCTCCCACAGCTTGTGATGGACTAAAGTGTTAACTAGAACCAGATTCCAAACCTTGCCTTTAGTGCCAAGCATTGCTAACCAACAGGTYAGATCCTGTGATCCAAACAGACCCGTCAGCTTATGCCGAGGTACCTCTTGTAGGGTGCGAGTTGTGTCAGTCCCTTGGACATCKAAACAGCCCCTGGGGAGACCCGTTGTGTTTAATCTCTCTTGTAACATAAAACGATTTCTTGTGCTCCCCTTGAAGTGCGAAATGCCAAACACATCATCCRTGGCTTTAATCTCGGGTAGCTGTTAAATGAGGCTGAAAACATCAGCGATGCGACTAATGCTCCTCTCTCTCTGGTAATCTGCAGGTGGTAGTAACCAACACAGTTCCCCATGAGGTGCAGAAGCTGCAGTGCCCCAAGATAAAGACTGTGGATATCAGTTTGATCCTCTCTGAAGCCATCAGACGAATCCACAACGGGGAGTCCATGGCCTATCTCTTCCGCAACATCACCGTCGATGACTAGATCGGGCACTGCCCCTGTCCCGGCTTCCACAAGAGCAGGAGATATGCATGAAAAGGCAATGCCATAAATTATAGACATAACACAACTGTTTATTCTTGTAGGGAGGGTGAAGGTTTTCAGGGACTTGAGCCATGAGATACAACAGAAAAAAAAAGAGTCAATTCAACCAGCACTTTATAGGTGAACAGAAGAGGCCACTGGCTGTGGGGAGGATTATAGGCTTATACTTTAATTGGAAGAGAAATAAGGAGACTTTAAATGTTTAAATTCCTTTATTTTTTGTAGTGTTGTCTCTTGCGCTCTTTTCAAAAAAAAACAAACTACTGTCAGCTTCTAGGAGATGGGGAATATTCATTTGCTGCGTGTGAACAGATGTGACAACAGGAGGAAGCAGCCCTCGGGTTTCTTTTCTGCCTGTGACCTGCATGAGCGAGCGCAGAAGGAAATGCTTTGTTTCTGCTGCTGTGAGCAGAGCAGAGCCTTGCCGGTTCGGAGGCCTGGGCTCTTGTGCAGCACAGCGAGCGCTTTCTCTGGAGGCAGGTTAGCAGAACGTCCAGAAAAGGCAGYTCGGGGGCAGCCCGTGCCAAGGGCTAGTCATGGCCTCGTTTCCAGGGGCTGGCAGCACGTTCACGTGCAGCTCTCAGCAGGGCAGGAGATTGTACTAAATGCGCTGGCCTTTGCGGTTGCTGAGCTGGGATTGTTMCTGTGCCGCAGTGGGCAGTCACACGAGGATCTAGGTCCTCACTTGAACGCTTCTCTGCACAGCAAAGGCAGGCAGGATTGGAACAATATCCACCTCTAACACAACGGTGCTTTCCAAGACACTAACACTGAACCTGCAATAAAAAGCAAAGGATTTTTCATTTTTGGAGCTCCCTTTGACCCCTTTTGAGCAGCTGCTGTGTTGGTACCGTGCAGCAGTTGCTGTAAATAGACTTGCTTGGCAGCTTGTGCAGCTTCTGCAGGGAAGCAGGACTCGTTGCTTGCTCTTTTCTCAAGTGACACTAATCCTTGGCTGGAGGGGACACTGCAGAGAGCAGCAGACAGTGCTTGTGAGTTGTGGCGGGCTCTGGGGTTGTGTCGAGGTGAATTCCCCAAGCTGTGATCTTCGCCCTTGGTGAGACAGGCTAACACACTCCAGGAAAACCTATCATAYTTTCCAGCGTGCTGGTGTAAGGAGCAAATCCTGCCAGAGGCAATTGCTTGAGAGAACAGTGCTGATGAAGGGGCTCTCCCTGGCAGGCATTTGTTTCACGGCACTCATCCTTCAGCTTCTGCCTGCATCTTTYTCTTCCACTCCAGCATCTTAAATCTAGACGGTGCCAGGGGCAAGTAATACTGTGAGGGCGGGAGGAGCCTTGAGTATTAGGCAAAGAAACCTCTCCTGGTACCAGGGGAGTTCATCTTGCAGACTGAGAGCTGCCTGCCAGCCCATGAGTGTGCACAAAAACCCAAACTAAGAGCAGCTGGGTCTTTTCTCATGTTCATCACTAATTTAAGCTAAAGCCCAGGGCTAGAGCTGCGCTTTGGTCACTGATGCCTTTATTGCATTTTCAGTCAAGGCTGTGCTCCTTGATCACAATGTGGCTCCTAGGTCGGAGGTGGTAATGTGTTGCTATATTTTAGGTGTTATTGAACAGATGGACTAAAGCATGTGAAATCCTTGCAAAAATTACCTCCTTGTTCTGGTCTAAGCCATTCCTGGACCCTGCTGTTCATACTGGGAAACAATGCTAAACATATAAAAAAAACTTTGCTTTTCTAAGCCCCCGTCAAACTGCCTTGTCAGACCTGCCCGGAGCTGCCTCGAGGCTTCTTGGCTGCTCTTCCTGTGCTCAGACTTGCTTTTACAAGACAGTATTTTGCTAGCAACGGGTGAAGCCCTGCACCAGCGAGCATGGGCTGTGCAGGTGTCCTGTGCTTAGGAGCTCCCAGCCCAGTTATTGCCTGGTCTCGCTTCAAACTCCATCCTCGTTGGAAGGCAAGAGCAATTGGCAGCACTGAAATCCAATGTCCATGTCTCAAAATCCTTCACAACACTTTAGGAAAACCAGGGATCTGTATTCTGCAGACCCCAAATAGTTGGGGAGCTGGTGGTTTGACACAGATGTGCGTTTGTTACAAGGCTGTAGCACCCGCCTGATTTAGCCTAGCTTGGATCTGATGTGCCGCTATCTCAGCTTTGAGTCGAATCTCTCCTTTTTCTGCCCTGAAATCCAGCCCTTGCCGTAGCAACGTAATGAAGTAAGATGGCCCTTTGCCACCTTACGGGGTCTTGCAGCTTTTTCTGACAGTCATATTTGCTTCCTAGAAAGCTTGAACAGGCCCTGTGCAGAAACTTAAACCTTTCCRACTGGCAGCTTTGTCAGTAAGCAGAGTAAAGGCTTAGGATCCCTCTTCGGAGAGTTAGCTCCTTGTCTTGGTGCATATTCCCCTCCTGGAACCTCTGCTCCCTCATTGAATTCAGTCTTYGCAGCTTGAAATGAAGTCTGCACATACCCATACACACCAGCTATATATTCTTTGATTTTGCTGCCTGGAAATTGATACCTTCTGTCTTTCAAAGCAGCAAGTTAATCTGTTCCCTTTGCTGCCTGTCCACACTGATCCTCCCGTGGAAATCGTCCTCGAGTGCCTCACTGAAGAAGAGAGATGTTAATACTCTAAATACCTGTGTGATGGTCTTTGTGGTTTATAAGGGAAAAGAAGTTCTCGATTATTTTTATAAGTATTCATTTGATGGATCGCTCAGGTTCAAAGGTCTTCCCAGTGCTGAAGTATTTTTCTTCCAAGGATTAGCTGGAAGCGTGTGTTCATCTGCATTTCTTTTTCCCTGCTTATGGAGCATTTTGCTTCAGAGACGGGGCCACTAAGAAGTCTGCGTTTCGATGCACTTAGCACCAACCTTCTGCTATTCCCATCTCCGAGCTGGGGGGAGAGGGAAAAACTTGTGCTTTAGATACCTCAAAAAAAAAAAAAAAGAGAGAAAAATAAAAAGAAATGGAAAAATATGGGAGTGCTTCTTCTCCAGGCCTTGTCTCTGCATGGAAAGTCGCAGACGGGACCGTGCCAGGTTTCTGCCTGGCTTCAGTTCTCCTTTGCAGAAGCCGCTGTCCTGCAAGGGAGCCAAGTCCTTCAAGGCGAATCTCCCTCAGCCCGGGCTGCGTTCAGCCCATGGGCGCTRCCAAGTGTGTTTTAAGGGTTAAAGCAGAAAGGAGAGCGCCTGGCACGTCCTCTGTTCCTGCCTTGTGCTGCCCAGGGCAGCGTGTGAGAGCAGCTGCATGGCTGGTACGAGCACCTGGCCTGCAGAAGCCCCTCGCTTGGCTCTTTCCTCAGGAAGGTGGATAGGAACGTGTAGAGAAACTCCAAGCGTGGATGCAAATAAACGCTCCGACTTCTCCGCTCAGTGCCTCTGTGTACGTGGCTGTGATGCTGGGCATGGGCTGCCCGTTTTTGGAGCTTTGAAGTGCAAGAAGTTGCTGCTGTGGCACAGAGCGAGAGAGAGGGGCCCTGGAGGAGGCCTGAGCAGGAACGTGCACGGGTGGGAGCCGAATCCYGGCTCCTTGCTTGCCCCTTGCTCTTGTCCCCGTGCCCCGCAGGGCAGCTCCGGGCAGGAGGAGGAGCAGGTTTGCTGGACCAGCTCGGAGGCCGGACAGGGGCCTTGCAGGGGTGCCTGGTCCCCTGCCCCATCCTGCCTGCGGGAGCTCCACAAGGGCCTGCGGGCACTCAGGGCTGTTTGCAGGGGACTGTCCCCGTGGTGACAGCCTTGTCCCGCAAGGTGCGCTGAGCAAACCGGGCTCTGCTGCACCACAAGTTCGAGGGAGGAGGAGGACGAGGAGGAAGTATTTTTCGCGTGCGAGTAATTGCAGTATTTACGGGAAAGGGGCGGCCGCCGTCGCGTAGCAACGGGGAACGCTACGCGGCAACTCCGCGGGGGCGGGTGCGTAAACAAGATCACGGGGGCAGCGGCCGCAGCCAMTGGGGCGGCGAGGAGCGGCGGCCGGCGGCCAATGGGAAGGGGGCGAGGGCGGGCTGAGAGCGCGGGGCGGGGCTAGCGGGCCGGCGCAGGTGGGCGC